TTTGTTTTGCTACTTTTTCTAGTTCTTGCAATTCCAGTTCTGAAAACACTTCACTCCGGATGATAAACCTTATCTGGTCCATTAATAGTTGTTCAGTTATGACACTATTCAGGTATTTCCTTTTCTAAATTTCCATCATTATTTTTTGAAAACCATGGGCTGTTGAGTTTGCCTCATAAAAGCATTTCATAATTTCTTGATTTTTGATGGGAGTCCAAGTTTTGTATTTACATTGTTCCAATAGCTTTGCAGCAGCCTGTTCTGCTTCCTCAACAGGGTCTGCTGAGCCCTGTAGCCCATTTGTCACCTGATGTCGTGGGGCTACAGCATCTGACATGATCTTCGCTGACCCAAGCAATGACTGATCTAGTAGGGATTTCTGTTTATTTCCTCTCATCATAATTGATGTTGGTGGACACACTTGGTCTGGCTTTGTAGACCTCTCAGGTATTAACACTTCTGCCAGCATAGCTCTCAGCCTCACAGAAGCATGAAAGCTTCCCCACCTCAACAAGGCCTGTGTTGGGGATTTTTGTAGTTGCTGTTCTTGCTGTTGGAAATATCCTACCCACTACAAAAACAAAAACAAAAACAACCTCTGACAGGTAGTACCCAAAAGGATGCAGGCAGGCTTGGTTCAAGGACAAGCTTGTTTGTGATTGTCTGTATGTCATGTAGTCACAGGGAAAAGGAGTGAACCAGCCCATCCCCAAAGCACACCAAACCACAGGACATATCTTCATCTGATTGCACACTTGGTTTCTACTATAATGTATGTGTGTTTTACCTCAGATTGTTTGGCAGCATCAATGGTTATAACATGGCTGTAGCTTTATCATACAGAAAAGTAGCTGATTTAATTTTGTGAAGACCAGGTTTCCTCACTTTTCAGCATCTATATGTGAAATGATCATCAACCTGGTGTCAAATCTGTCATATTTGGGCATAGCCTGTGACTTTGTGATAATCCTTTTGGCCACTCCAAATATTCTATCCATTGTGCTCATTTATTGCTAATTATACTTTCCTCAACTATGTGACAGATGTCATTATTGATGAATTCAACAGCACTTAATTGTGCAATGTATGTTAGATAACTAACTCCATTTTCACTTGATAACATAGAAATGCCTGTGACAGATTCCAAGATCAGGGAATTGCACAATGGTTCAATCCCTGTCAGAAACCTTAAAGCAGAATCTACAAATGAAACTAGCAAGATTTAATAAATTGAACAATGTCTGCGGTTCATGCCTTGTGATTTCTGATAGTAGCCCTACACCTTCAGAAACACACAATTTTAAAAACTCCCAGTGATTACTGATTTACATGTGATTACTGCATGTATGCTCTGTCTCAGCAAACCTTTTACATTAAATTACAGCACAAAATGACAAATGAGCCACAGTGGACATCAGACTTGTGTGCTTCTCTCTTGCTTCAAGTGGCTGTGAGAAGTCTGACAGTTTCTGGTTCTTTTTTTCCTTAACTAGGTTTTGTTATTTCATCTGAATTGACAAACTCTAGTTCATGGTAAGTATGGTTTTGCTTGAAGCAATCCAATGTATCTCTCTTTTACCAAAGATCCATAAAATGAGAAAGGAGACACTTGCCCACCATCAGCCAAAGATATGTGACAAGCACTTCCTAGTTCTTATCCTTCGCATATTTGCAGAGGTTTCTCCACATTTTAAAGCAGCCTTTGCCAAACTGATACTGTCCAAATATTTTAGACTACAATTTCCATCCTTGCTAAGAAGGAGTGACAGATTTACAGAACCAAAGGCAGATCCACAAGACACCACTTTGGGAAAGGTTATTTTTGCTGTTCAGTGTAACAAGTCCATCTGCTGTGTTTTGGAGATGAATGGATTCAAGTAAACATACACTAAAGAATACACATGTCTTTGGATGGGGAGAAAGAGAAGAGAAGAGAGAGAGAGAGAGAGAGAGAGAGAGAGATTGAGAAAGAGAGAGGGAAGTTTCCAAGACTGTCCTTTAATTGCTGTGACCCATACTGACCTTCCTTCAGTCTAGACCAGTGGTGTCCAACCTTGGCCCTCCAGATATTCTTGGACTTCAACTCCCAGAAATCCTGGCCAGCAAAGGTGGTGGTGAAGGCTTCTGGGAGCTGTAGTCTAAGAACATCTGGAGGGCCAAGGTTGGACACCACTGGTCTAAACTGATATTCTTAGGGTAGCAATATCCTTTCCTTTCTTCTTTTCTTTTTTGACCCTCTCTGTGAGAGAAGGGAGATACTTTGTCTATGTTTTAAGAACTGACGGGGCGGCCATCAGTATCCACATCTCCACCTTAGTTCTAGACCCTGGATTCCTGTTGCCTTTCTCACCTCTAGTATATTTCCAGTAAATATTAGCAGCTTCTTCTTTTTTTAAAGAATAAGAAAGGTGAATATAATTTCTTGCCAAAGAAGGAAATGTGCCCTGCTGATTATTCTAGGATCCCGGATGAATCCACAAGTTAACCTAGCTGCCACATGGTATGGTATATTCCTCCAGTATAATCCTATATGAGGAATATGGAGTAGTTCTTCACCAAACAGCGGGCAGATGAAGTTGCACTGTGGGCCAATTGTTACTTTTAAAAAGGGAGAAAGCGTGCCTCACAGAGCTCTGCCTTAAATTTTGTTGATTCTTAATCTAGCTGATCCTCAACATCTTGCTTGCAACATTTTTTTACATTCTAATGAAAAGGTCTTGGATGAGGTGCCAGAAGGATTCCAAACTAGAGCTAAATGGCTAGCTTTCTGCCAACCTCCTGCTTCAAGAATAATAGAGTTACTGCCCAAGTCCTAATGTAGATTATTTCTCTATTTGACTGCAGGCTGTGAACCAGTAAAAACCCAAACAAAAAGATCCCGAAACAATACATAGACTGCTTAGAAACAGAGAGGGTATTTTTCTTGATGAAGTCAGGGCATGGCTGTTAAGGGAGGGTTAGTTGTGGATTATGACCTCTTTTATGAGGTTCACCTTCTTAGTAACTGAAACACTCACAAAGTCTTTATAACACCTAATTCTGGCTCCCCTTGAGTGCCCCTCTCTTCTCTTTCTTTTGCATCAGAATAGCTTTCACTGCCCCTCACAACAGCTGCATGAGTTAAGAATGGGATTTTAATGGTCACTGAAGATAAACAAAGGTGGTGCTTATTGAAATGAAGTCTGCTGAAGGCAATTGGTATTTTACTTCTTTTTTTAAAAGCAGGATATGGGGAATAACAAAGCTGGCAAAGAAATTTTACTGAATCCTTGATATTGTGTCATTATTTCCAAGCCTGCTTTTTGTTTTAAAAACAGGCACTTTATTGTACACTGTAGTATACCTTGTGTTTTATGCTGCAACACTAATAAAAATTTCATCACAATTTTAAAACAAACATTTGTGCTGGAAAAAAAAAGCTGAGCCCTTTTATTTAGAGTTTGCACTACACAGAAGGATCATTTATACCTGTCTTGCTAGCATGAAATGTATTTTAAACATTCACACATTTCTTAAGGATACTAGTTATAAAATGGTGGATAACTTTACATAAATAAGCACTGAAACTTGTGTTTCAAAAATAAGCAATGGGGGGAGGTGTATACAGAGTAATTGGCTCGCTCTGTCTGAATAACGGGGTGGAAAATTCCACTCACATGTAACTGGGGGTGAAGCATTAAACCACACACCCTAAAGCCCATTTGTGACCAGCTTTGAGCTCACCTTAAGAAGCATACCTGGCAAATGTCTGCCGTGAATTTTTGGGACATTCATTTATCATTTTTTGCGCTGTCCACAAGATCCTGGTGTGCACTTGAAGAAGTAGATTTTCATCTACAAAAGCTTGTGCTTTGATTTCATTATTGGGAGAAAGGCGACCTATAAAACAAACAAATAAACTAAAGTGGTTTTTAAATGAGTGATTGTTTTTATGTTTTTTCTTTGCAAACTGCAAAGTATACAGAAGCCTGGGTGATAACTTTGCTTTAAAAAAAAAAGAGTTAAGGAAATCCAGTTAAATAGTTCTAAGTATTGGTAAGGGAGTTCCAGCATATCCTGTATATTAAATGGTGGGAAACGTCCAGCTGGGGTCTTGTTTCCGATATGTTACAGCCTTATGCATGTACGTAATTCTCCCACTGAAAATAATGGGATAATGCTTTGAACAAACTAGTGCTCAGCTAATATTGCTACTTTATTCTATGGAGCCCTTAACTTCTCTCTCCCTTCTCTATCAGTCTTTTGTGCTTCCCTTACAGTCCCCCTTTACATACTAAAGAGGTGTAAAAGACACACTGTGTGTATTGCATGTGTGGGTACACACATGTTCTAGGACCACATGCAGACCATAGTCTTTTAGAAGCGAAGAGCAACTGATAAGTTCTATGCCTTTTGTTATGTGCATTTCCCCATATGAACATCCTTCTCTTTCATTGTTCCCATCAATAGAAGGCTTCCCTTCTACTCACTCACTGTCAAATCAAGCAAATCTGAATATGGCTATCAGCAAGGTTATTAATTGGAAAGGTTTTTCTTTTTAGCTACAACAGACACCCTTACCCGCAAGCCAGCATAGCCAATGGGTAGAAATTCTGGCAGTTTTTTCTTTTAAAAGTAACATTTTTTCAAGCTATAAAGAAGGTTTCTCAAAAGGAGATCATAATGGAGCAGTTTCATACTTCCCACTTGTGGAAATTCTTGAACTCTCATCGTAGATAGCCATTGTATGTGGCCTTTGTGGTGCTCTAAATGAATAATGGGTTAATAATTCATTTACAGATTACTACTGTAGGTTTTGAACACTGATGCGATGAGTCTGTATGGTTCATCTTTGTCTTCATATGTTTTCAGGGATCATAGTACTACTTAATAATTTAATGAGGCAGTATATCTTATTATAAGTAGCAAACCTTACAACCTCTACCTGTAAAACTTTCATCCACTTTATGAAATACATTCACTGAGTTAATGTGGCCCACTATTTTGTCTTCTGTTGTTAGCTAGCTGCAGCGTTGGAACATATTATCATGATGAGCAAGAAGGATGTGTTTTATGTCCCAATGGAACTTACCAAGACAATGAAGGCCAAATAACTTGTGAACCTTGTCCAAATCTTCACAATCCGGGAAATCTAAAAATTGCTGGAGCTCGAAATATATCTGAGTGTGGAGGTGAGGATGGATGTTTCGCCTGCAGAACCACAGAACACAACATGTTGAGTCTTCCTCCTTCATGCAGTTTGGATGTACTGATTATTGCAGACTTTGTAAAACATTGGTGAGGTTTAAAACAGCAGCGACAGCATTTTTCGATGTGGGGAGGCTAGGGGCCTCAGGGTTTCTTGAGGTACAAAAGTGGGCCTGGGGGGGGGTTGCCTGTGGACTGCATGTTGCCAACTCTGCCTTTTGTGGTGCTCTGCCATGTCATCTATCAAATCTATATGGTACATGTGTGTACAGGCTTACAGCAGATTGTAATATGCCATTGGCTGTGAGAATATGTAGAGCCTTCTCAGGGTTATCTGAGCAAAACAGTCAGCAAAATCCTGTTTTGGGACGTGGTGGCGCTGTGGGCTAAACCGCAGAAGCCTGTGCTGCAGGGTCAGAAGACCAAGCAGTCATAAGATCAAATCCACGCGACGGAGTGAGCGCCCGTTGCTTGTCCCAGCTCCCGCCAACCTAGCGGTTCGAAAGCATGCAAACGCGAGTAGATAAATAGGTACCATCTCGGTGGGAAGGTAAACAGCGTTCCGTGTTTAAATCACACTGGCCATGTGACCATGGAAGATTGTCTTCGGACAAACGCTGGCTCTATGGCTTGAAGAGCGGGATGAGCGCCGCCCCCTAGAGTCGGACACGACTGGACAAAAATTGTCAAGGGGAACCTTTACCTTTACCTAAAGTTATGTGACATAAACCAAATCTGGCAATGGTAATCTTTAATTTAAATGAAAATTGGAAGCTTCCTTTATCTTCCCTCCCCCTGGGCTCCCTTTTGACCTAGGGAATGGGGGTGGGTGGGAGACTTTAATAGTTGAACATTGCTGTTGGATCACTGCTACTGGGACTGGGGCCACCAATCCTTCTAGAAATCTACCTAAAGTTATGTGACAAAAACCAAATCTGGCAATGGTAATCTTTAATTTAAATGAAAATTGGAAGCTTCCTTTATCTTCCCTCCCCCTGGGCTCCCTTTTGACCTAGGGAATGGGGGTGGGTGGGAGACTTTAATAGTTGAACATTGCTGTTGGATCACTGCTACTGGGACTGGGGCCACCAATCCTTCTAGAAATCTAAAATTCACAATTATAAGCTCAGTAACAAAAAACAGCAAACAGGGTCTTCTAATAATGTATACTATCCCTTGTCTGTGTGTATCTATTTTGCCAACTGTACCTTTCCTTGGGGTAGGACCCAGCTAAATGCTCAACTAAGCTCCCAGAAATATGGCAGAAATTAAGTGAAATTTAATAGATGAATTTGTGTTGCACAGTTATGCAAATATGACTTTTGGAAGCAAACTGTGGTAAGTCAAGAAATCTCCATAAACTGTATCTGTTGCATGCTGAGTTGTGTGGCTCAGTATGCAACAGATAAAGGTAATGTCTATGGAGATATATTGACTTGATAGCAGTTTACTTCTAAAAGGTATGCTGTTTGCCTAACTGTACAACAGGATTTCAGCCAATGTTTCTGGAAGGCCAGAGATTCATAGATGGAAGGCACTGGAAAGCTGGAAAGGACTAGAAAAGGGTCATTGACTCTCAATTCCTGCCCGAGTAGCAAATGTAGTTAAGACATCAGAAATCAGAAAAGTTCTTTTTTTGGACCACAATTCTCATAATCCACAAATCATCATTTGTTGCTGTGTATTAATTGATTTGTATGCACTGTTTGCATAGTAACAGTACAGACACCTCTGCAAACAAATTTCAGGTGGTTGCAAAAGAACAGTGTGTTCTGAACATTGACATTTACATCTCTGTGGAAGTCTGTGAAGCTGTGGATGGCTTCATTCATTGCATAATTATATGGAAAGGCTTGTTTCTCACAAATGATAGTTCAAAGCATTGACACCACATTTTGCATATTTTTTTCATTTCTAAAAGGGTCACTTTCTCCCCCCCCCCATTGCTGAAGAAGAGTTGTCAATAAGAACATGAATAAGGAATTGACAGAGGAGCAGGAATGCAAGATAATCATCCTTTCGTAGTGACGTCACATTGCTAACCCATCCAGTCAAATCACTTAAAGTCTACTGGAATTTACAGTGGTGCCTCGCTAGACAGTTACCCCGCATGACAGTTTTTTCGCTAGACATTGACTTTTTGCAATCGCTATAGTGATTTGCAAAACAGTGATTCCTATGGGGGAATTTCACTGGACAATGTTTGGTCCCTGCTTCGCAAACTGATTTTCGCTAGACGACGACTTTGACAGCTTCCTCCACCCTCGCAAAACAGGTGTTTTCGGGACCTAAGCTTCTCAAGACAGCGATTTAAACAGCTGATCAGTGATTCGCAGAGTGGCTTTCCTATGGCCAATCTTCGCTAGACAATGACGATTCTCCCTCATTGGAACGCATCAAACAGGTTTCAATGCATTCCAATGGGGAAATGCTTTTTGCTATACAATGATTTCACTAAACAGCGATTCCAGTGGAATGGATTATCATCATCTAGCGAGGCACCACTGTATTTAAAATAGCATTCACTGAATTGGATTCATCCAGATTCAATTCAGCAACCCCCATCTTCCCCATTTACTTTGGCAAATATATTCCAAGGGCAGCTGATTGGGAGAGGGCAGCTTAAAGAATATGAAGAAATATCAGATTATGAAGTAAATAAAATATAATCAGAATTACTGGGAATGAAGGGCACACAGGAGAGCAATTTATTAGATATGTGCCTTTTGAATTCAAACGCTTGAAATTTAATTACCTTATAAATGGGCATCTCTGTGTACAGCTAACAATATACTTATGGAGGAAAAAATAAAAAAGGTGGCATGGTGGAGTGTGATTAATATCTCTTGAAATGGCAGAGTTGTTTGTATGTATACTTTGTGAAAGTCATTCTCATTCTCTTTTTCAAAGTCTCTCAGAATATAACTTTCCAGAAACTCTGGTATTGATGCTGATTGGGTAGAATAGCTAAGGATACACTGATTAAAATTATGGGGGAAATTGATTTGCCCAATATCAAGCTGTGTTTTGTCTGTTAATTCTGGTTCATAGAGCTGTGGATTGGGCTAGAACCACTGTATTAAAAAAATATTAGAGGTGGTGTACTTTGAGAGGGCAGGAAAAAGATGCTGGAACAATAAAGTAATAACAGGATTATGGGACATTTAATAATGTGAAACAAATATTGGCATACTTTAATGCTAGCAGTTTCACCTACGTATACAAAGTGCTCTGTATGTGAAAAATGTTCTATCGTGTACTGCTTCTTTCTGATTATATAATTTGGCTGTTAACAATACATTGACACCCCCCATGCTTTTTTGAGTGCTGAGAAGACACATTATTGAGAGGACAGCCTGCATGTTAACCTGATAACCACAAATTGAGATTGTTAACTGATACAGTACGTCTTTATGACTACAACTGTTCACAAGAAGTGAAAAAAGAATGCATATACACAAGATAACCATAATGGAATTGCCCTCTATCTGGGAACCGTAGTTCAAGTTCATGTATAGCACTGTCATTTACAAGCTCAAAATGGTGGTGAGGACTGTTGGTGCAGAAATAGTTTCTTTGTGTTGCATGTACCATCCATGACTGATGGCGTCGGAGTTTAGCATGTCATTTTTTTCCTTGCTTGCTTGCTTGAAGGAACCCATACAGCTTCTTTCTTCTTAAGCCAAAGCGGCACTCTCTGTTAAACTCAGTTCATTAGCTGTAAACAAAATTCCTCATCCCTGATCATGACTAGTTAATGCCTTATTTGCTACAAACTCAAATAACCTGAAATGAAGCCAAGGCCAATTTAAACCCCTTAACAAAAACAGCCATTCAGTGAAGTGATTTATTGACAGTATAAAGCAACCCAAACAGTTTTAACAGCTCTTTAAAAGGACAGAACTTCATATCATGGCCAAACAGCTGCACCAGTAATCCTGGGCTGTCTAGAACAGCGTAACTGCTTGGCTTGTTGTTGCAATCAGCTTGCTGCAAACACGGGAGACATATTACACTGAAGTAAATAAACCACAGGGGACATTTATGTGTGTTATCATCCATTCAATAAAATAGCTCTGTCTTTGTAGTATAAGGGCACCAATGCACTTTGGAGGCAGAGGAGCTATAGTAGGAGTTGCATTTTGTTATTTCTAAGCTGTCAGCAATTAAAGGAATGGTCTGATTCCATTTTATGTATTTTAAAATATGTTTAATATATAACACATTTTCTGCTCTTGAAAATGATATATAATGATTATAGGGCGCTAATAAACCAAGTTCTGCTGCCAGGCATGGGCCTTTCATTTGAAAAGGACTTGAGCAGGATTTCAACACAGGGGTGACTGAAATACAGCGTATGAAGGCTGAATAGCAGCAATGCTTGGCTGGGGTAATAGAAATCTGCAAACACTTGGTTCTTAATCTGATCCAATGCAGGCATATAATCTAAGCTCAGAGGGACCCCTTAGAGGACATAATACAACCCAGTTTCTCTTCCCCATTTTGCCTTTAGCATGGGTACTTTAGGGAATAGCTCATTCAAAATGGCAGATGCAGGGAAGGGGTATCAAGGGACAGGTCTCCAGTTGTCTCGTATGCTCCCAGAGGCATCTGGTGGGGCTATATCACTGTGAGATACAGGAAGCTGGAGTTGATGGGCCCTTGGCCTGATCCAGCAGGGCTCTTCTTCTGTTCTTATGTTTTCATGTTCTTCGTTCCTTGACCAAGCAGGGAAGGTAAACTGATTGGGAGTAGCAGGAGGAGCAGCATGTAGGGCTCTAGTGCCTCATAACTGCCTCAATCACTTGCTGTATTGCTGTCAAGTGTGGCTGCAATAAAAATTAAAAGGATAAATAGTCACTTATCGGCAAAACCTGTAACCTGAAACATTACTGCAAAAGCACCACTGTGATACAAATTATGCCTGTGATGATTGCTGTCCTGATTTTGAAACACATTTGTTCTAGGTTTTTACATATATAACACTCTATTTTTTATTATGGGACTTGCCAGCAAAATGTGCTATAGAATTACAATACCTTTCTTAGTTATTCTAATATCTGCATATCTTCCACCCAACTATCTCAGGACAGTGCTCACCTGGTGAATATTCCTCTGATGGATTTAAGCCCTGTCTTCTATGTCCTTTTGGAATGTATCAGCCTGAAGCAGGCCGGACATCTTGTTTTACCTGTGGTGGAGGCCTGATGACTAAACATACTGGTGCAGTATTGTTTCAGGACTGTGAGACAAAAGGTGAGAAACCATAAATCTCAAGAGTCTATAAGAAACATGTGCAGCCACACTAATTTCTCCCCCAACTTTTAAAAGTAGAATTTTTTCCCTTTAAAATGTCAGCAGCTGGAGAGCCAGTTCCCCTCACTTAAACAGGCGATTCCTTTGAACATATTGTAGAACTGAGGTGTACATGTGCAGAAATCAGTCACAGATAAAATGAATGACTATAAGTGAGTTTATTTATCTATTTTTGCAGTGCAATGCTCGCCTGGCCATTTCTACAACACTACAACACATCGATGTATCCGTTGCCCAGTTGGGACATACCAGCCTGAGTTTGGGCAAAATTACTGCATTTTATGCCCTGGAAACACAACTACTGATTATGACGGATCCACAAATGTGACACAATGCAAAGGTAAATACTACCATGTGTTGCAGTTGGTCAGAAGCCCAAGTGTCAGTAACAGTGTTCAGACCATGGGAAAGGAAGCAAATAGTCTGCAATATCTGTGAAGCTTGACCTGTTTATACTACACATAAGTGGCATTTTTTTCTTTAATTACTGAACACTGGAACATGTTCTCCCGTGATTCATCTTGTGCTGTTTCTTTACTAATGAACAAATGTTACTTTGTCAGTTAGCTTCAGCAGCAGCTGATCATGGGGCCATGTATAAATATGGCAGTAATATTGTCTCACTCTTATGTCTGAAGAAGTGGAGGTGATCCACAAAAGCTCACATTAAAATATAGCAGTTAGCATTTAAGGTGCCACAATGTTTTTTCTCTTGTTTTTGTTTGTTTGTTTTTCATACGAACTGGACTTCTTTCTTGTTAGGTTGAAAAACATTTCGCTACTCATCCAGGTAGTTTCTTTAATCTGGATGAGAAGCGAAATGTTGGATAGGTTGCTATGACTCAACTTCTGAATAACCACACCTGGATGAATGAGGATCTTCACAGATAACTCATCTGAAAACTTCCTTATGCAAGGATCAGAAGCAGGCTATGCTTTGACACTGGAACTTAAAATCCTATTTAATTTCTTATGAATCTATTCAGAGCTGGACAGACCAAGAAGTGAAATAAACAGGATCCTTGGAAACCCTTCTTTTTAGGCCTCAGACCAGAAGAGATTAAACAGCACCCAGCTTGCCTTCTTCTCTTGGGCTTAGTTTCCAGGCACGTGGCCAAGCTCTAAGGGAATTTTTCCAGGCCTAGCTTCCTCTATGACAGGAGTGGGGGTAATCTCAGCAGAGCTGAGGGCCATTTGCAGATTTAGAAGAAGTTTGAGTTCCACATTGCTGAAAGCATGAGGTTAAAAAAAAAGGGGGGGGAGGGATGCGACCAAAAAGGCTGATTTTCATTTTTACTTAGTTTCTATAGTTTTTGCAAGGATTATAGGTTATAGGTTGCTACATTTTTTTTTTGTTAACTGAAAAATGGATTTAACTATTTAAAAACTGGGGTTTAAAACTGCCTTAGAGAAATAAGCCCCTTAGCAGACAGGTTTTTTTAAAAAAATTGGGAAATCTAGTAGCCTGAGGAGTTCTGGGGCCTCCTCAAAACATACCAAATGCTCTCTTGCGGCAACTAGATTAGCAATTTATGAGCATTTTTTTAAAAAAAAAACTGGGGACTGGGGTGGGCCGGGGTGCTAGGAACCTGCAAAAAATGGTAATGAGTGTGTGGCTGGCTCATGTGCTACATCTTTATTCTAAAAAGAGACAGGCCTAGAAGAACTCCCCTAGAAGAGCAGTACTTCCCAACGTTGGGTAACTCAGGTGACCTTTGGAGTGCAATTCATAGAGGTCTTCAGCTGTGCTGCCCGGGGTTTCCAGGAGTTGCAATCTAAGAACACCTGGATTACCCAAGGCTAGAAATCACTGTCCTAAAACTTAGCTGACTGCCTGCACTAAGACTCCTAAAATGCCTATTCCCTGTTTCTATCCCAATTAACATCTACTTGTTATCCTCTGCTCTCATGTGATGACCACTACATCTCATAAAACTAGTTTTAGAAGAGGTAGCCATGTTAGTCTGTGCAAGCATATAAAGCAAAATCCAAACAAACAAAACAAAGCAAAAAAACAAACAAACATGTGGCACCTTAAAGACTATTATATCTTAATGTGAGCTTTTGAGGATCATGTCGACATCTTCAAACCTATTGAAAAAAATGAAATACAGAAGGAATACTGAAATAAGAAGTTAAACATTCATTAGGTTAAGAATATTAGGTGTGTGTTTACATCTCAGGTACAGTAATTTATGGCCTATGTTTGGTGTTCTTGTGATAGCCTTTGCTGGACTAGTAGTATAGGCTGAATCAAAACTGTATAAGTCGTACGATGAACCTTATAAGATGGTGTTTGAAAAATTGTTTCTGTGGCCCCCTTCAAACGTTCCAGCCTCACCTTAGTTTTTGTGATGACAGTGCAAAAGATTCTTGTTGTGGTCTCTTTTCTTTGCCCTCCCTTCAGCTTCAAAGACACTAGCACATCCACCCATTTCAATAAACTCTTTCTCTTTTAAGTTTTAAGCCTTCAAGCCTTCATTTGTCTGTGCTACCATTTATTTCCATAGACAAAGATGTACTATATGTGGATTTTACTATTTCACTTGGAATCCTCTGAAGTGGGTACTTGTTATTAATGGTTTTAAGAAGAGGAAAACAGTGTCTGAAACTGCATCAGAGGACAAAGCAGTTTGCCCTGTTGAAATATTTGTTAGTTCGATTGCTTTACCTGGTTTTCTCCTCTCTTTCCTGGCTGTGAACAATATCTACTCTTCTTCAGACAGGCACTGTGGTGGTGAGCTTGGAGATTTTACAGGATACATTGAATCCCCAAACTATCCAGGAAACTACCCTGCAAACACTGAGTGCATCTGGACTATAAATCCACCTCCTAAACGCCGAATTCTGATTGTGGTTCCAGAAATATTTTTGCCAATAGAAGATGATTGTGGAGACTACCTAGTGATGAGGAAAAGTGGTAAGTTTAAGCATATGTTTGAATGTCTGGGTCAGAAATAGCTCTCTCTTTCTCTCTCTTGATTAGTCTGTATTTCATCAGCCAAAGCCATTCCTATGAAACCTAGCTCAGAAATGAGGTATGGGATGGGCCACTGTGGATCTTCAGATTTTTGAACTTCGGCTCCCATGATTCTTCACCATTGACTATGCTGGGTAGGTCTGATGAGAAGTGTAGGCCGAAGCCATCTGGTGGGGCTTAGCTACCACTCCTTGATATAACATACCCTCAATGAGAACAGATTTGGCAAATATTCCACATTAAAGATGAAAAAAAGGACATGTAAGGAACAAAACTTTACTGTGGAACCAGAATAATTCATGTTGGACAGAATAGGGGAAGGAAATTCTCCTATCTGACCTTATGTGCCTTTCCTCATGTGTCCACTGACAAGCTCGTTCTCTAGAACAGCTATTTTTAACCATTTTTAGCCATGGCTATGAACACAATATAAAAGAAATGCAGCCAAATCAAGATTGTATGATTCATGCAACAAACGTTGTAAGATGCTGTGTGAAGAATTGTTTCCAAACTGTGGTCCCCTCCAAATGTGCCAGGGCACCTGAGGAGGCCATATGACACCCCCCCACCCATTGAGAGTGGCTCCGCTCGATTCTGAAGGCAAGTGATTGCTGGTGCTGCTGAGCCCTGGTGCCTTTTTTTGTGGCAGTGGCAAGAAAAAGCATCCATTGATACCTATTGCTGTTATAGGAGACCTTAGCTTTGGGAAGTTGCAGGGTGAACTACTAGAAGCGACTAGTAGACTGCGAGTTTAACTAACAGATAGGGTTATTAAGTAAGCTGGCAGGTCTTCATTGTAAGATGAACCAGTTAGGGTTGAACTGTGTTTGAATTTAGAGGTATTTGGCTAGGCAGGGCCAGTCTCTGAGTTTCCTCAAGTTGAGGAAAACAGAGTAGAAGGAGGCCGCTAGAAGGATTTTAGGAAGCAAAAATAAAAGCAGATAGGACATTCAGGAATGACTAGTTTGTAGTGAGCAATCACCTGGTTAAATAACCTGCTGTGGTGATGGTGGAGCATGAGCCACCTCAGAGTAGATAGACTGAAATAAATACTGTGCCTTTAAATATAGAAACTGCTAAGCCTATGTCCGACTCAGTGTTCTGAAAATAAAACTTCTGTTTCACTCCTGGACTCTGCCGTGGTCAATAGTTTTAGCCATAAATGGGACAGTCTGTTTAAAGGACCCATTCAATGATAATTAAACATCAACTAGTATATTACAATGTGGCAATTATTATTCACCATATAGAATATAGGGAGTAGGTAAAGTCATGTTGCCAACCTCCCATTTTATTGAAAAGGTTTCACAAATTCAAGCAGCAGAAAAGGAAAAAAAAATCTTCAAGGAACATAATAATGGTAGTAAATACTTAAGGGAGAAGAGAAGCAAGGGCAAGCTGTTTGTTGCTCAGAAGGAAAACCTGTATTTAATGTCTACCTTTGTCAATTTTATTTGGAAGCTTCCTCCAATTCTGTGACCACATATGAAACCTGCCAAACCTACGAACGCCCAATAGCCTTCACTTCCCGGTCTAAAAAGCTATGGATTCAGTTCAAATCAAATGAAGGAAATAGCGCTAAAGGATTCCAAGTCCCTTATGTAACGTATGATGGTAAGGAGCTATTATGAAGCTGAAGTGTGGGCATTTCACTACTTGAAACTTTTTAAAAAATTATTTAGACACGATCTCAGAGATTTGGCAGGAGGGGTTGAAGTAGGATATCAGTTCTGCATCTATGGCAGGGGTGGGCAATTAATTTCTATAGGGGGGGCACATGAAAAATCTGAACTGTGTTTGGGGGCCGAACCAACTTTACTTAAAAATAAAACGAAACCCAATGTTATGATAGTTTTTATTTTAAACTTGTTAATCTTCACAAATACTAAAGAGGTTTTTTGCGGTATGTTAAAGATAAGCAACTGATCAATTTTAGACAAAAAAGCTATAAATGGTTTTGATATTCAAAACTGTCCATGGGCCGGACATGCTCGTAGGCAGAATGTGGCCCTTGGGCTGCACTTTGCCCAGGTCTGATCTATAGGAAAGTTGGCTTTTCATAAAGTTTGACTACAGAATTTCAAGTCAGATGAACTGACATTGGGAATATTGTGTAGACATGCTGAAAAAGTTCATCAATCACTATGCTACCAGGACAGTTTTATTTGATGCTAGAATTGTTGGTTGATGTAATCTTCATTCTCTAAGAGCCCACCTCTCCGAAAGCAGAGCATTGATGTTGTCTAGCTTTGAATCACATCACATCAGCTGAAATATATCTGTGAAGATTCTCAGTCATCCAGGGGAAGTTGTCTGGAAGTTGAGTCATTGCATGTTACCATGACTCAACCTCAAGATAAAAAAAAAAGTCCAATTGCCATGACTCAACTTCCAGACATCAGCTGAAAGTCTCTCTGAATTTTGTTCAAATTGTAAGACGGGAACAAAGCCTGAAATGTTGCTAAAATAATTTATTCATCATCTGCCCTTACTTTTGCAAGTGGTTCACTCTTTGCAAGTGTTACTTACCATGCCAAATAGGAACATATAAACCATTCTTGTTAAAATGTTAGAAAAGTACCTACATTGTCCCTTATAAGAAGAAAAAGGAAGAATATATTATCAGTCATTAACTGTAATGCATTAAATCCAGGCTCAGGGGGTGGTGTATCTGCTTATAAAATAGTGCCGTTTGCAACTATGTAGCTTTAGAATTGAATGTAGGATCTTTTATGAGAAAAGGAAGTCTAATTGATGGAATTGATAAATTTCATATTTATTTATCTGTTCGGTCAGAACACATTTTCACACAAAATGAAATAGAAAAGCTATATATTTACGTGTCTAAGATATTAGGAGGGTAGGACAGAGATCCATTTTCAGTAATGCTGTCTTGGACTTATTGTATTTTGTACTGTATTTCACAGAATATATTTTTGTTCACTTAGATTGGCATATGTGTAGTCTAAATAGTCTACATTGCTTTATTGGTGTGCAGTTTACATCATTTGATTTAGGACTACCTCAGGGATTATTGTTTCCCCCTAGGAAATGCCTTTTCTTCTGATGTACTAATGGCTTTACATTTTCTGTTTTGATGTTCAATTTTGGACTAATCAGTGTTTCAGGTAGAAGCAAGCAAAGCTGGCAGATTCATGCCCCTCACATAATATCTTTAACCAGTTATTCTAATGCAAACAGTGGGACTAGTAAAAGCCAGTAAAGAATGGAATTGGTTTGAACAGGGGCATCGGAATACAAATTGACACAAAAAACAGTTGGATGTATGGGGCAAATACCCAAACAATATTTTAGACCTCGGATCCAATGAATATTACTCTTTCATTAACCCTTTATTGCGCAGGAACCCACCAGAGCAGAACACAATGACTTGGAATGACAATTTTCAATTAAGATAACCTAGCCCAAATTCACAACACACTTGTGGCTAGATGAGACAGATGCAGCAAGCCACTAACTGTCCACATAAACATTCATTTTCTGACTGGAACAGGTACTGGAACTAAAGGGTTAATGAAACAGTAATTCATTGGGTTTGAGGTCTAAAATACTACATGCTGTTAAACAAAGATTTTGATTTATTATACAAATACATCAAAGAAGGAAAGTGAGATTGTTTGGGGGGCATATTTCAAACATTGTAAGTTGATTTTTCAAGCAGGAAAATTATTTAAAATATGCGATATCACCATATATTACCATATAGTGGTATAGGCAAGTAATAAATTCTGTGTCTCCAACAGAGGATTATCAGGAACTAATAGAAGATATAGTCCGTGACGGTAGATTGTATGCATCAGAGAATCATCAAGAGATCCTTAAGGTAGGAATAAAGTTTACATAGAAGAAAATAAATACATTAACAAATATGTCCAACTTTATTCAGTTTCAGGACTTATTATCTCTCCAGTATAGTTCTGTTTTCGAAAACTGACCTCAGGATGAATTGTCTTAAAATGTACAAAAGGCATCTCTCTCATTTCATGTGCCAAGACTGCTAATTTGATATGGGAAAAATTTTTAAATGTGTAAAGAGGGCATGTATGAGGCATAACCTTGAAAATGGGGGTTATAAATAAATATAATTTTTAAGTAGTAATATTTTGTTGTTGTTTAGTTGTTAAGTTCATGGCCCCATGGACCAGAGCACGCCAGGCCCTCCTGTCTTCCACTGCCTCCCGGAGTTTGCTCAAATTCATGTTGGTAGCTTCAGTGACACTATCCACCCATCTCACCTCTGTTGTCCCCTTTTCCTCTTGCCCTTACACTTTCCCAACATCAGGGTCTTTCCCTGGGAGTCTTCTCTTCTCATGAGATGGCCAAAGTACAGTGGTGCCTCGCTTAACGAGCACACCGTTTAACAACGAATCCGCATAGCGACCTGTTTTTTGCGGTCGCTAATGCGATCACATTGCGATGTTTAGATAGGCTAAACATCGCATTGCGATCATTTCTGCACCCGGCGGCCATTTTGGGAACAGCTGATTGGTGGTTCCGAAAGGGCCGCCAGGTGCAGAAAATGGCCACCCGCACCATTTTCGCGCCCTGCCCTCGCTTACCAAGGGCGCGAAAATGGCGGTGCTATGGAGAAACTTCGCAGAACGGTGAGTTTAAGAGCCATAGGAACGCATTAAACTTAGTTCTGTGGCGTTTTCTGTTCCGTATAGTGATGTTTCCCCATAGCGACGGTTAATCCGGAACGGATTAACCTCACTATGCGGGGCACCACTGTATTGGAACCTCAGCTTCAGGATCTGTCCTTCCAGTGAGCACTCAGGAGTGATTTCCTTCAAAATGGATAGGTTTGTTCTCCTTGCAGTCCAGGGGACTCTCAAGAGTCTCCTCCAGCACCACAATTCAAAAGCATGAGTTCTTCTGC